ATGGTTTCAGGCAAGGGGGGAGTGTAGAGAATTTCCCTCTGGCACGAATTTGAGCCTTTGAAAACCATTTACGTGCGCAACAAACCTATATAACATACTAAAGGAAAGGGAAAACCCTAAAAATAATGATAGGCCCCCTTTAAACTGATGTTAAATAAGTTGTAGTTTCGTCTTTTGGTCAAAGGCACAACAAATAAAAACCAAAACAAGATCAGGCTGTTTTTCTCTGCCCACTGTGAAATCACACTCCAGCAGCCTATTTGTGTTTGAATTGCTCAGCTGGTGTTCATGTAACACTCTCAGTACCTGCCTGGTCTCTGGGGTTCAGAATACACTGTTCCCTCCTGTCAAGGCCGGACTCCCGGTTAAGTAACATGATTAATAAGCCATGAGTCGTGTACGATGTGGTCCTACCCTCAGAGCAGGGTTGAGTTTTCATTTTGGCACCTCAGGGCTGAAACAGTATTCATTCATAGATGCCTGGCAGAGAAGCAAACCTTTCTCTCTGCATGTGAGAGCTTTCGGGGGCCTGAGGGAAAGTGGAAAATCCTGAGAATATTGTATCACACATTCATGAAGCACGACTGCAGCGGTGAACAAAGCTCAGAGGTGGAGGAGGAACCATCAATCTGTTATGTCGACTGGCATCAAGCACACACCAGCAAATATACCCAGTGGTCAAATGTAGTGAAGTACATTCATTCAAGAACTGTACTTGAGCAACATTTGAAGGTACTTTTACAGAGACTTTTCAATGTTTGCTTCTTTATAACCCTTCTCCAACTTATAAATACATATTTACATTTAATTATACATAAAATATAACTATATAAAGTCATTAAAATGAGCTCTACCTTTACCAACTATGATAGACACACAGATACAGTGCCTTGCAAAAGTATTCACCCCCTTGGCATTTTTCATTGCTTTAAAACATTTAATTTAATTAGATTTTTGGAGAATTTGTATTATTTGATATACACAATATGCCTACAACTGAAAACATGAGCGTGCATAACTATTCACCCCCCCAAAGTCAATACTTTGTCTCTTGGTATGTGTCTATAAGCTTGGCACATCTTTCCACTGGGATTTGTTTCCATTCTTCTTGGCAAAACTGCTCCAGCTCCTTTAGGTTAGATGGGTTCCGCTCGTATATAGCCTTCTTTAGGTCATACGTACCACAGATCTTCGATTGGATTAAGATCTGGGCTTTGACTAGGCCACTCCAAAACATTTAAATGTTTCCCCTTAAACCACTCTAGCGTTGCTTTAGCAGTATGCTTTGGGTCATTGTCCTGCTGGAAGGTGAACCTCTGCCCAAGCCTCAAATCTCTGGCAGACTGAAACACAGTTTCCTCAACTATTTCCCTGTATTTAGCTCCATTCATCACTCCTTCTATTTTTACCAGCTTCCCAGTCCCTGCCAATGAAAAACATCCCCACAACATGATGCTGCCACCACCTTGCTTCACTGTGGGGATGGTGTTCTGAGAGGGATCAGAGGTGTTGGGTTTGCGCCAGACATAGCGTTTACCTTGATGGCCAAAAAATTCAATTTTAGTCTCATCCGACCACAGGACCTTCTTCCACATGTTTGGGGAATCTTCCACATGCCTTTTGGCGAACTCCAAACATGTTTTCTTATTTTTTTTGCGAGTCTTCCATAAAGCCCAGCTCTGTGGAGTGTACGGCTTACTGTGGTCTTATGTACAGATTCTCCTCTCTCTGCTGTGGAGCTTACCAGCTCCTTCTGGGTTATCCTCAGCCTCGTTGTTGCCTCTCTGATCAATGCTCTCCTTGCACGGTGTGAGAGTTTTGGTGGGCGGCCCTCTCTTGGCAGGTATGTTGTTGTGGCATATTTTTTCCATTTTAAAATAATGGATTTAATGGTGCTTCGTGTTGTTCAAAGTTTGTGAGATTTTTTTATAACCCAACCCTGTCTCATACTTTTCCACAACTTTGTCCCTGACCCGTTTGGAGAGCTCTTTAGTCTTCATGGTGTTGTTTTCTTGCTTAGAAAGGCCACTTGCTGTGGTATGGAAGACGGAGGCCTTCTACAACAGTTGTATATTAATAAGAATTAATTAATATAATAATTAGAAATAATGAGGCACTTGATTGCACACAGGTGAAATTTATTTAAATAATTGTGTGACTTTGAAGGTCTTTGTTTGGGCTCAATAGCAAAGGGGGTGAATACACACACCACTTTTCAATTTTACATTTTTCGTTATGTTTTAAAACGTGCTCTTTTTTTCTTTTACTTCACCAATTTTGACTGACTTTGTGTGGGGTCTTGCCATAAAATCCCCCCAAAAATATTATATTATTTTTGGTTTTAATGCAAGAAAATAGGAAAAATGGCAATGGGGGTGAATACTTTCGCAAGGCACTGTACATACTTTTACTCACGTAATAAATCTGAGTACCTATTCCACCGGGCAGGCAGGCAGATAATGAAGATGAACAGTGTGTGCGTTGGTCGGTGCTAATAAAGGAGATGAAAGTGTGTGAGCCGTGGCAGGCTGTCGGAGTTAGCGGTGCTGGTGTCAGGTGTTTCAGATTCCCACATGGATCCGATCTGCTGTTAGAGCTTCCTGTCAAAACGCAGATCCTCATAATCCGCACTGTCGACAGCAGTTGCTGTGAACTGAGTGAACTCGATATGGATGCCCTCAAATTCACATCCAGAGCTCCACATTTGTAATTGCGTCCTCCTGCCCGAGCACACCTGCTAATGGCGGTCGCAAATAAGACACCTACAGGTCTTTTTATTTTTATTTTATTTATTTATGGGTGGCGTGTGGCGCAGTGGGTTGTGTGTTGTGCGTTGGTGTTCGTATCAGGGGGTCACAGGTTCAAACCCCACTGCAGTCAGCATGTCGTTGTGTCCCTGGGCAAGACACTTCACCCCAAATAGCTCCTGTGGGGATTGCCCACAGTATTGAGTAAGTCGCTTTGGATAAAAGCCTCTAACAAGTAACATGTAATGTATTTTTTTCTTCATTAAGGAGTGCAGATTTAACAGACAATACAACAATTTTTCACATTTCCTGTTTTGGTTTTCTTATGACAGGAAATTGCACTGTTACCCTTCCCACCTACAGGTATTTGAAAGAGGTCAGACAATTTGTAAGGTCACGGAGAAAGCCATTTAAATAAAAAAAGTAATTATTTAAATAATTTTAAATGAAGACATGGAGAAAGATCATTTGAATGTTTTGCACTCATTTAGAAATAACTGCCAGTATTGCAAAAAAAGGGACTGATTTCAAAAGGTCGGCTCATACAAAATGTCATGTTCATGATAATCTAACACTAGAGCAGGAATAGCTAGTGATTCGATAGAAGAGTTGAGTAAAATTAGCATTTGGAATATTGGATTAACAAATCAAACTATTTGAAGAAGTAAACCTTAGTTCTGCAAAATTGTGACACACTTTATTTTTAACTGGTGACAGCTACAGGCCATGTGCCTGGTGAGGCTTGAGGGAGTCACAAGACTTCACAAAAGTGTAGTTGTGATCAAAAGGAAGGCCAATTTTGGAAATGGCTGTGGTCCGTGCAAGGGTTGCAGAAGTAGAGGACAGGAAGTAAGGCCATAAGCCTTGCATGCAATATGCTCATCTTAACCTTTGTGTTGTTTTCCCGTCAACAATGCAACTTTTGTCCTACCGATTTTACAAACCATGTATATATAATGACCCAAACCTGTATAACACATTTTAAACCATCGTATTCAGACTTACTTCCGTCTTCTTTTTGAGATGTACGGTCAATAGAGCTCATTTACACAAAATGAAACCTCATCTATGAGTTAAAAAAGGCACACATGTTGAATGATTTTACAAATGTGATCCTGGAAGACCACAGATGCTATACATTTAAATAAAACCCAGAACTTAATGAAACTGATTAGGATTTCTGTATCAAACGTGTTATACACCACACGTTATTTATCTGGCATTAAGAAAAAACAACAACTTTATTCCGAAACAAAAACATTTGGAAATGGGACAAATTTGACCCAAGGATAACAGGAAGGTTAATCCCATACAATTGAGTGTGACAATTCCAAGAAAGTGTTGCCAAAGCATAACAAAATAGTGTTTTGACAGTACACAATAACAGTAATATGAACATTACCAGAATAAAGGTATTGCTATACATTAATTAAACATATATTGTATGTATGTTTTACATAGTTTATCCATTGCATGTTTCTGTTGTGCGTCTCACTTTGTGTCACTGAGTCTGTACTTGGTTTGAATCTGTCCCTGCTTCCCACCTCTGACGGTAGAGAAGTATTCTGCGAATTCATAGTCTCAAATAACTTTCTAAAGTACTTCTTCTTTCCAATGTTCCTAGTAGGTTTCTCCACATTGCTTTGTCATTTAGTTTCCTCTTATTGTTGTTGTTGTTGTGGGACTGATGTGTCTGAGAGGAGACAGCGAGCCTCAACACAAATTGACATAATGTTCTGAGCTAAAAGCTTCCTGGAAGTAAAGTGTCTCTTCAGTCTGACTGGACGTCCATTATTAATGTGCTTCATCGTCTCTGCTGCTTTGACTTTAGCCAGAGATTCACCTTGGAAACATATCTGGTGTGTTTGCGACCTTGAATTAATTGATGTTATGTCATTCAATTAAAGCTCTGATTATGGAAAATGAAACTGATATCTGTGATGAAGCTGATGTTGTGGCAACAGAGTGAAGAGTCCTACTTGCAGTGAGCCAGATCACAGCCAGATGGCGCCATGTTTCTATGCAGTGCTGCCTCTAGCAATCTAAACACAAAACAGTGAACCTCACACAGTTTATGAATGCACTTTCTCACTACTCTGGCCACTTCAAAGACATCTCTCTGTATTCAGATTCTGTCAGCGCTGCCACCAGTGGAAGGATACAGACTTGATGGTCCTTTCCTTTGTGGACACAACACACTTCCTTTCTCTGTCTCGGGTTAGACAAAACTACCGGAGAATGAGAGACAAACACTTCACTTAAAAAAAACTATTTATTTTGCTCTTGAAAGACAAAGCAAGTGAATTTACAGCGTGGGATGTTCCTTGCAAAGCGTTACAATAAGTACATGAAGCACTGTTTGAGGTCTTTCAGAATAAAAGACTCCTAAGAAAAAGGGAATAAATATTCTTGTTGCTTAGTTAGCAGTCTGGCGTTGGGTCTGGGTTTCCTTCCCCGTGGTCAGGAATGGGGATTAGAACGTTGTCGTCAATCTCGTCTATGTAGTCTTCCTGGACAGTGTGGTGGTCACCATGGTTACCCTGGTCCTCACTGTGACTGTGATGCGTGTCGTGATTCAGCTCTGCATACTCCAACGACCCCTGAGAGGAGCGACAGAGAGCTGGATCACCAAACTGCTGCTGGCTGAGAGATGTCTGTGTGTAAAGTAAATATTGTGTTTGTATGTGTACTAGTTTGTCTTAAACAGATTAACAAGTGAGAATATACAGATAAACAAAAACCCAATTTCAGGGCTTTAAGAAAATCAGTTTTGCACTCATATTTGATGGTGAGACAGAAACAAAAAAAATAATTTTTAAGTTTGAAATAATTAGAAAATAAGATAAAACAGGATAAACCCTTATTGATCCCCGTAGGGAAATTAAGGTGTTAAGCAGAAACAGGAAGACGAAGAATAAAATAAGAAGATAAGAAATAAGATTTACCTGAGAAAATCATTTGAAAATAATAATGATTGAAATTGAAAATATAATACAAAAAATATTTAAAATAAATTATCAATTCATAAATAATAATAAAGTATTTCAGAAATGGTATAGTTATTTCCAGAACGTTTGTGTCATTATAAAGGAATTATCAAAAAGGTACAAAGCAATAACATAAATAATGAATTGTATTTGAATGTTTCCTCTCTACACACAATAAAAACTGTGCACAACAAATTCATGAGTGTGCATCTGATTTGTTTTGTAGTGTGCATGCACTGTAGGTGTGTGACGTGTGTGTGTGTGTGTGTGTGTGTGTACTTACACCATCAGCCTGCTCTGGAGCACCTGCAGAAACAAAGGCAGAGGACGAGTTCAGGAAACAAAAGTAGTGTGAGGATTAAAGGCGGCTTGTACAGTCATTAACACTCCCATCACTCCCACTCACAAACCGTGAGCTTATCATGTGGCACACATTCACACTAACATGCACAGTCTTTATCGACAACAAAGTATCATCTTTAAGCAGAAAACGGCCTATTATGTTGTTTCTCCTTCACTTGTGCTGCATCATTGTTTGCGTCCCTACAGCTGACATTCATTGCTGTCACGGAGGAACTGCACACTGCCAAAACTGCATCCCTCTCCTCTGTCATCATCCTGTTGGACCTGTCTGCTGCATTCGACACGGTGAATCATCAGATCCTCCTTCGCACTCTCCAAGCACTTGGAGTTTCAGGCTCTGCACTTTCCCTCCTCACCTCATACCTGAAAGACCGTACCTACAGGGTGACTTGGAGAGGGTCTGAGTCCGACCCTTGTCAATTAACTACGGGGGTCCCTCAGGGCTCTGTTCTTGGTCCCCTCCTCTTCTCCCTGTACACAAACTCGCTCGGATCAGTCATTAGCCCGCATGGTTTTTCTTACCACTGCTACGCTGACGACACCCAATTAATTCTGTCCTTTCCCCGCTCAGAGACCCAGGTCGTTGCACGCATCTCTGCTTGTCTAGCTGACATCTCTCAGTGGATGTCTGCTCACCACCTCAAGCTCAACCTTGACAAGACTGAGCTGCTCTTCCTCCCGGGAAAAGATTGTCCCACTCTTGACCTAACAATCAACATCGGCACCTCAGTTGTTTCCCCGACTCAGACTGCAAGGAATCTGGGTGTGACCCTAGATAACAACCTGTCCTTCACTGCAAACATCGCTGCTACAACCCGTTGCTGCAGATACACGCTTTACAACATCAGGAGGATACGTCCCCAGCTGACTCAGAAAGCGACTCAGGTTCTGGTCCAGGCTCTCGTCATCTCACGCCTAGACTACTGCAACTCCCTCCTGGCTGGTCTACCTGCATGTGCCATCCGACCTCTGCAGCTCATCCAGAATGCAGCGGCTCGTCTGGTCTTCAACCTTCCTAAATTCTCCCACACCACGCCGCTCCTCCGCTCCCTTCACTGGCTTCCGGTAACTGCTAGAATCCACTTCAAGACAATGGTACTTGCGTACCATGCTGCGAATGGATCTGGCCCTTCCTACATCCAGGACATGGTTAAACCGTACACCCCAGCGCGTGCACTACGCTCTGCATCAGCCAAACGACTCGCTGCGCCCTCGCTGCGAGGGGGACCCAAGTTCCCAACGGCGAAAACACGTGGGTTTGCTGTCCTGGCTCCAGGATGGTGGAATGAGCTCCCCATTGACATCAGGACGGCAGATAGCTTGCACATCTTCCGGCGCAAACTGAAAACTCATCTCTTTCGACTCCACTTCGAGCGTTAGAACTATTAACGAAGCACTTTTATACTAATAAAGGACTGGCTTATCTAAAGCCAGTTGAGTAGCACTTGAAATGTTTGGCTCTATGAAACCTGATGTACTTATATGATTCTGTTTTCTTCAAGGTTGTGTCTTCCTGGTCGAATGTACTTATTGTAAGTCGCTTTGGATAAAAGCGTCAGCTAAATGCAATGTAATGTAAAAAATGTAATGTAAACCGTTAGGAGTTATTAGGAGCCAATGACTAAACAATGGACGAGAGTTTCCCCATGAGCGTGGAACAATGGAGCGTGTTGCTCACTCCGTCTGAACGGATGTACACACTGTTTAGATTGTTAGAACAGGAAGTTCTCTTTGACAAAAGCAGGAAGTGGACACCTGGAGACTGGGCCTTCTGTTTTAATGGGACATTCTTTCACTAACAATGCAGATGTTTACAGTTAGGGCTGATCCTGTTTCCTGGCGGGTTTTTTTCTTCAAATGTCGGTGAGTGGCCTTGTTTCTCTCACAGCGTAACGTAAGTGGGATTTGAACGGAGAGCAGGATGTTAGACGTACCTTGTTTTGACTTCCTCACTTCGCTGTACACCGTCTCTGTGCCCTTCTTCACTGGAGCTGGCAACAACAAACACATTATTATTTTTGCATTGTTTTTTAATTATTCCACAAATAATATTGACATTCAGTGGTGGTCTCACCTCTGTTGGGGTCTGCCTGTATCGGCTGCACCTCAGTGTATCGAGGTTCTTGCGGCTTTTCTGGAGCGGTCACACTACTCTGGTCCTCAGACTCTGCAGTACAACACAGTGTCAAGTTAAAAGTTACACATCATAGTATTTTAAATCAAATCAAACATATTTGCATTCAAATCAGGTTATTTGGCAGAAAAATGCTGTTAATATTGTATTATTTGAGTGTAGTGTTCAATTAATTTTTTCTTTGTGAAGCAAGGCAAACAGTACCATATACTGTATATTGTTTGACATTACAGGATCGAAGTATCAGGGTAAAACAAGCATTGGGTGTTTAATCACTAATACATTGTCTTGCATCTGGAAATACTCACTGGAGCACTATATACATGTGCAGCTGAAAATATTCCCGACAAATACATTATTGACTCCCTTTTGAGTATCATTTGCTGTGAAATGAATAAACATAAAAAAAAAGGGAACAACGCACATGCTGAGTATCACATGCAGTGTAGAGAAGTCAGAAATGATTGAAAGACATTTTTGTGGGATTTGTTGACGTGTTGAAACATGTTTCAACACACTCACCTGAGCCTGATGCATGTTCGCTCCAAACACTCTTTCCTATCATGCCTGGGGTGACTAACAGAGACAAAAAACAACAGTCTCAATAGTTATTACAAATCTAGAGCAACTTCTTTCATTCTTTTAAAAATAAAAAAACAAAAAAGACATTTTAAATTTGTTTTTCAAGTCCATAATTTGATCTTGAGTTTTGCAGCTCAGTATTTGTATCAGCAGACTTTACCATTAGCAGCGTCATTGGCCTCGGCCTGGGTGAGGCTCAGCCGCTCCGCCTTGGTGCTGGCTGACTTCCTGAGAAGAAGTGGACGCAAAACACAATCAGATTTTTATAACAGGAAACTGTACGGGCCTCACCTTCCCACCTAGTCCTGCTTCTGAAACATCTTGCCCTTAAAAACACAGATTTTTTATAAGAACATGTTACTCACACTGACAGCTCGCCGGTTCTTCTCCTCTTGAACAGAAGCAGACGTCTTTTAAAGACCACGATGAGGATCAGCGCCAGTATGAGCAGGATGCAGATGATGATGACAGCGACGAGACCCTTCTTCCAGCCAGCCATCTTCACTGCAGAACACATTTGAATGGCAAGGATATTAATTGGATTTAAATGTGATCATTAAACACTGCTAATACATTTTTGTCACAGAACCTCAAACATTTCCTCTTAACATAGTTTACTTTTCAAGTCTGGCTATGCATGTTTAATCATTTCAATCCCTGATCCTCCCTGAGATGAGAGTGAATCAATCAACAATGTGAAATAATTCAAATTCCAGCACCTACTTTACATTGCAAGTAGTTATTATTTAGTTTAGTATTTTGTAAATAATATGTGATATTAACCCAAAATATCCCTGTTATTAATCAAATAAGTCTGATAAAAAAACAAGGTTACTGAAATCCAACACCGTGAAGATGATTTGTAAAAAGTCTGACAACAAGCCAACAAAATGCATTTTCTGAATTGAAATACAAATCAATCAGGGTTTAGCAAATAGTAGCTTCTTTGCCAATGCTCAAAATAACCTAATCTAAATTTGGCATAAAAATAGCAGCACCAATATTATTATTTATAGACATAGATATCGACACACTGTGTAACTTTAAAATGGCATAATCTCCTAAATAAGGCTTTTATTTCTGGTTTTGTGTTTGGTGTGATAAAACCATGACACTCTTAATCCAATTTTGGTTCAGAGAGATAGAGAAACATGAATCACACCCTTGACCATTATTTCTGCTAACATCTCTACTATCTCAAGTTAGAACACACCTGCGATGGTGACAGTGAGGCTCTGTTTGGTTTCGTTGGCCGGGTTGCTGCTCACACAGTAGTATCCCCCCCGCTGCTCCTCTTGGACATCGCCGATAGTGTGGGATCCTTCCAGGTTGTTGAAGGTTTGGGAGGCGAGCGCGCCCTTCGTCTCAGTGTGGTACCAGGTGTAGCTGACGGGGAGCGAGCCTCTCTGGACGGAGCAGAGGAGAGTCACGTCCTGTCCCTCGGAGATGTCCCCCGCGCCGGGCAGCGTGGTCAACACTGGTCTTGAGACAGGCTCTGCACAAGATGAAATGTAAAGTTAGTCCTACACAGAGGTGGAAGAACTACTCAGATCTTTTACTTGAGTAAAAGTAGAAATACTACACTGTAAAAGTCCTGCATTCTAAATTGTAATAAGATAAAAGTACAGTAAAAGTAATCAGATTTCAAAATAATAAATGTTTTTGTTATCATTATTATTAATACATTAATGTCAATGTTGCCCTTTGAAATGTTGGGATTATTTAAATGACTTGATATACTGCTGGGTAGTTTAACATCTAATAATACATAATGCTTTATCGTTTCATTTATATTCTGTATTATCAATCCATACCTGGAAAGTAGTTATTAACTGAATTTGTAAAAAAAAGTAAAGAATTGCCACTAAAGTATAAAGTAGCATAACATGAATATATATATTCAAGTGAAGTACAAGTACCTACAAAAAAACTTCCACTACTGGTTCTACAGTCTCCAATGTTAATATCAACTTGAATGAGGCGTCACTCCACTCACCTATGATGTGTGAGCGGAGCAGCTGCTGCCCTAACCCCACTTCTGGAGGTCTTTTTTGGCTGTTTTTTGCGTGGCATAGGAAGTTGTTGAGAACCGAAGTCTTGTAGATGGCTGAGGAGTTAAAGATGGCACGCTCCCCCGGTTTGTTCACCACGGCGACCGTGGTCAGGCTCTCGGGGATGCGCAGGGTGTAGGTGATGGGCAGGGTGCCGTTGTCGCTGTGGCAGAGCAGCTGGAAGCGCTTTCCCAACACCAGCGTCCCCCCCACCACACTCAGCATGGGCTTGGAAACAGGAACTGGGGACAAGATAATTAGCCAGTTAGTCAGAGCAACAGAAAGGAACACGACACAGATTAACAAGAGTTAGGAGCCGGGCCTGCAGCACTATGAGGAGATACTTAGGAGCTATAAACGCTAATGTTAGCATAGAAAATAAGGTTGTATTGCTTCATATAAAACATAACGAAAGTTAACTGCAAATTGTAGTGTTGCTTCCTTTCCATGCAAAGACACATAATGTCAAAAGCACTAGAAGAATACTACTACTACTACTACTTATATTATTACTACTACTACTACTACTACTACTACTACTACTACTACTACTACTACTACTACTACTACTACTACTACTACTACTTATATTACTACTACTGCTACTTATATTACTACTACTACTACTTATATTACTACTACTACTACTACCACTACTACTAATACTACTACTACTACTTATATTACTACTACTACTACTACTACTACTACTACAGCTGCTGAAGCTACTAAAGTTACTACTACTACTACTTATATTACTACTACTACTACTGCTACTACTACTACTACTACTACTACTACTACTACTACTCAGTGGCGGTTCTAGAACATTTTACATGGGGGGGCAAGAGGTCATGCCAGGGTGGCATGGGAGGGCGGACAGTACGTGGTATTTTATACTGTATATAACCTATTTATTGTTAATTCATGCCCTAACACAAGTGTTCTTAATGCACAAGAGAAACAAGGTGTTCAGACAAACAATCGGGTGCCCTTTGAGTCCCCCAAGCTTACCTCAACCATTTTAAATGAAAGGAAACTACAACATGTATTTTAAAGCAATGAATTAATGGAACAGGTTTTTTTGCATTACAATGTAAAACTAAATATATATTTTGTTTTTAAAAAATTGGTTTTCTTAGTATTAGACAGACATATTTGCATGTCCTCAATAAGCATTATTACATATTCATTTAATATCAAACCAATCAAAATGGCCAATTATCCCAAAATGTTGCTGCTAATATAATCATATGCTTGATCAAAAAGAAATTCTGAAAAAATACTTGAATTATCTATGAAATTGCAATATTGTCCCTCAGTTTGTTTCAACCCCGTCACGCCATACCATTTACCCTCCTATTAAAATAATGGATCAGTCCATGTGTGATCTGTATTGAGGGAATTACATCACAAAAGTGTCAGTTTCTTCTCTTACCTATATTTCAGTTTTCGTATTTTCAGATTAAGATTGACAAGCTTTTCAATTTATAATTAAGTACACAAATTACATCACCCATCTCTTCAGAGAGCTACAGGTGACCTGTGCAGCAACACATTTCAATCAATATTTGTCAATACTAAGAGCTGCTAGATTGTGCTGCTGTAATGGAATATGTAAGGAGAATAAGAACATACCATGTGGTCCAGCTGGAGTTTAATCTGCCTCCTGATACCTGCCTCTGTCCCTCTTTCTGACACTTCATCTTTATTCCTCACATGCATTTCTTCTTCTTCACTAATATCTTCATCTCCTCCTCCCGCTCTGACCCTCCTGGTCTCTTCATCTCCTCCTCTTCCTCCTGCTCTGACCCTCCTGGTCTCTTCATCTCTCTTTTCCTTTTCCTCTTTCTGTTCGTCCTGATCACTTCTCATATGTCTTTTTGTTGTTGTTGAATCACTCCTATACTCTGGCCTGCAAGAGTCTACTTGTGAAAAGCACTGGTACAAATGCTTGTATAACTTTACACGTTAGGGCCATGTAGCCTAGCTAATATGTAGCATATCATAAATATAACATCAGAAAGTATTGATCAAGCGCACACAGGCAGCTGTGTTTGGATCCAGTTTTTACGGTAAAGGATGTATCCTGGTTTCATTGATCTGGCCTCATGGCTGTGATGTGTAGTTTACGTGGATGTAATAGTAGGCTACCGCGTAGTTGAGCAAAGTGATCGACCTCCCAGCTAACGCTGTCTGCGTAGTATTTTGTAACGTAACGCCCCAAACAGCGCCCGTCTGTTAAACGCTATCGATTCAAACGGCAGCGTTTTATTAATATTTAGTTTCAAGCTCTCGTCCTTAGTAAAACAAAACTAGTGGAAAGGGAAATGCTCCCAGGGGAAGCTGGTCCATAGGTGCTGGGACAGCTCGCTCCCTCTCTGCAGCGGTGTGAGCCGCGGTCTGTGTGAACGCCGCTCCGCAGTTTAATGCAGGGCCGTAGCTATGTTTTTAACGGGCCTAAAATTATATTAAAAAATGATTCACTTTTAACTAATGTAATGCTTGTTTTGTTGCTTGAGAAGCTTGTGGAAATAGTGTAGATTTGTTTTAGTACAGTTTTAGGGAAACAAAAGTTAGGGGGGCAGCTGGGGGGGCAAGGCTCTAAAGTGGGGGGGCAGCTGCCCCCCTTGCCCCCCCGTAGATCCGCCCATGCTACTACTACTACTACTACTACTACTACTACTACTACTATTACTCAGGGTCGGCTCTAGAACAAATCGAATGGGGGGGAAATCATTTACCAAGGGGGGGCACACACTGCCGTCAACAACCAACACACAAACACCAACGCAACTTCAATTTAAAAAAACATGCTGTAAAGTCTCTTGTCTTTCACACACATTGCAGGGTGTAGCGCTATTGTGTAGCGCACCTATGACTTCTGCAGACATGCACGGTTGTGGCACGACCACCAAAACAGAAACATATAAGGACAGAGGGTGTCGTTTTCTCATACTGATATTCTGCACAAACTGTGCCGTTGTATTTGCTGTAAAGTGTCTTTACTGTAGGTTATTTTTTATTATATGTACAGCACTTTGGCTCGACCAAAAATCGTTGAAAAATGTGCTATTGTGGTGACACGTTATTGGACATAATTCACCTTGCTTATTGTGTTGCCACACGGACCCTTTAGTGGGGAACACCTGTAGCTTTAGCTGCCATTCCTGCTAGCTCATCATGGCAGAGCAGTGCATGTGTTAACCTCTCTGAAGTAATGGATAATAAAGATTGGAACTCCATTCTTAATACACCGCCTCCGACTCTCTTTTCACGGCACTACACTGGTGACCCTGACTTTACCGAGAAAGTTTCCGGAAAATTAACGAACATGGCTGAGCGCGATGTTTTCATAAAGCTGCCGGAATTCTGGGAGCACACCGCGGAGGCATGGTTCGCACACGTGGAGGCACATTTCGCCTGCCGACAGGTCCGTGACGGGGACCTAAAATACTACCATGTGGTAGCAGCGCTGGGGAGCTCCACGTCATCCAGGTTGGTGGGATTCATCGCAGCCCCCCCACATCATGGCAAATATGAGGCGATTAAGGCCCTTCTCCTTAAGACATTTAGCTTATCTGCTAAGGAGAGGGCCCGCCAGATACTTGACATTCAAGGCCTAGGAGACAGCAAGCCATCCCAGCTAATGGAGAAAATGCTAAATCTGCTAGGGGGGGAAGATCCCCGTATTTTATTCACGGAGATTTTCCTGCGTCACTTGCCTCCCCGGGTACAGACGGCGCTGGCCAACACGCCTGTCACGGAGCCCCGTGCTTTGGCTGAGGAAGCGGATCGTTTTTTCCTGGCTACGCAACAGCCCGGGGCAGAGACGTTAGCCGCGACGCTCAGCGGCCCACCGGCAGTCAAGAAAGCGTGGCGGAGGCCGGACACGGCTGTGGCTAGCCGGCGTGGAGACGCCGGAGAGTGCGTTTACCACGCACGTTTCGGGACAAGGGCGAAGAGATGCATCGCTCCGTGCAGCTACAAACCCCCGGGAAACGGAGGGGCCGGCGCTCAGTAGTGGCTCTGAGCGTCGGCGGCACGTGCAGGCTCCTCTTCGTCAGCGACAGCGTTTCGGGGAGCCTGTTTCTGTGTGACACGGGCGCTCAACGGAGCGTAGTTCCAGCGTCGAGTGAAGACGTCGCCCGTGGGGGGCACGGACCGCGATTGACGACGGCTAACGGCAGTCCCATTCGCACGTACGGCGTGAGGCCTATGTGTTTGTGCATCGGAGGACAGCGTTTCAGCTGGGATTTTGTGACAGCGGACATTTCTTTTCCCCTCCTCGGAGCGGATTTTTTGTGTGCTCATGGACTCTTAGTGGACGTTAAGAATAGGCGTTTGGTTGATGCCTTAACGTTTTCTTCCCTCGTGTGCACACTTGGCAGCGCAGCGTACGACGGGCTGTCAGGCTCGCTGTCAGGTGCAGACACGTTTCTCAGACTGTTGGCCGAGTTTCCAGACCTGTCGCTACCCACCTTCTCTGCGCTTACCACTAAGCATGGCGTGGAACACCACGTCACTACCGGGGGGCCTCCTGTCTACGCCAGGGCCCGGCGGTTGAACCCTTCTAAGCTGGCTTGTAGCGAGGGCGGAGTTCGCAACCATGGAGCGCCTGGGCATTGTCCGCCGCTCCGACAGTCCTTGGGCTTCCCCCCTGCACGTCGTTCCCAAATCGAACGGCGGGTTCCGCCCGTGCGGGGATTACCGCCGACCTCAACGACGCCACTACGCCTGACCGCTATCCGGTGCCGCACATTCAGGACTTTTCGGCGCATCTGGCCGGTACGGGGGTGTTTTCCAAGGTGGACCTGGTGCGTGGATACCACCAGGTGCCCATGCACCCCCTGGACATTCCCAAGACAGCAGTGATAACGCCTTTTGGACTTTTTGAGTTCCTGCGGATGCCTTTTGGACTCAAGAATGCCGCTCAGACGTTCCAGCGCCTGATGGATTCGGTGCTGCGGGACCTGCCGTTTGTGTTTGTTTACCTCGACGACATACTCGTCGCCAGCGCTTCAGTGCAGGAGCACCTGTCCCACCTCCGAGCCCTTTTCACACGGCTCAACGAACACGGATTAATCATCAATCCTGCAAAGTGCCAGTTCGGGGTGTCGGACATCGATTTCCTGGGGCACCGCGTCACCAAGGGCGGTGCGACACCTCTGCCAGCGAAGGTGGAGGCTGTTGCGGCGTTTCCTCGCCCGCTCACAGCCCGGTCGCTCCGTGAGTTTCTGGGGATGGTGACTTTCTACCACCGTTTCATCGCCCGGGCCGCACACATCATGCGGCCGCTGTATGAAGCGTTGAAAGGCAAGACCCCCGTCCAGGAGATCGACTGGACAGCAGAGGCGGACGGCGCTTTTGCTGAGGTCAAGACCGCGTTGGCTCAGGCGGCTTTGCTGGCACACCCATCATCTACGGCTCCCATCTCCATCACCACGGACGCGTCAGACTACGCGGTCGGCGCAGTGCACGAGCAGTCGGTGGAGGGCGCTTGGCAGCCGCTCGCCTTTTTCAGCCGCCAGCTGACGCCTAGAGAACGCAAATACAGCGCCTTTGACCGGGAGCTCCTCGGACTTTATTTGGCCGTGCGGCACTTCCGTTTCATGCTGGAAGGCCGTGAATTTACGGCGTTTGTCGACCACAAGCCGCTCACCTTTGCCATGTCAAAAGTGGCGGAGCCTTGGTCGGCACGTCAGCAGCGGCAGCTGTCCTACATATCGGAGTTCACTACGGACATTAAGCACGTGGCTGGCAAGTCGAACCTGGTTGCTGATTGCCTCTCCAGGGTCGTCATCGGTGCCGTCCAGTTGGGCCTGGACTATACTCGCATGGCGGCAGACCAGGTCACAGATCCCGGCGTCCAGGCCCTGAAGGTGGAGAGCGCGGGGCTGCGCTTGGAGGACGTGGTGTTCGGCGACGCGGGCATTACTCTCCTGTGTGACGTCTCTACGGGCCTGGCGCGGCCTGTCGTCCCTGCCAGCTGGAGGCGTCCTGTGTTCGAGGCTGTGCACGGCCTGTCACACCCCGGCATTAAACCTTCGGTCCGTTTGGTAGCGGCGAAGTTCGTTTGGCAAGGACTGAAAAGGGACGTGAGGACTTGGGCCAGGGAGTGTGTGGCTTGTCAACGCGTTAAGGTGCACCGCCACACGAAGGCCCCGTTGGAGCGTTTCCTGGTGCCTGAGAGGAGGTTTGATCACGTCAACATTGACCTGGTTGGTCCGTTGCCTTCCTCTCAGGGGTTTTCCTACCTCCTCACCATGGTGGACAGGACGACCCGTTGGCCGGAGGCGGTTCCGCTCGTTTCGACATCAGCCGCAGACGTTGCCCGGGCCTTCATTGCAACGTGGGTGTGTCGTTTTGGCACCCCGTCAGACATTTCCTCAGACAGGGGCTCTCAGTTCACGTCCGAGCTCTGGAACGCTGTGGCAGGCGGTTTGGGGGTTAAGCTGCACAGGACTACCGCTTACCACCCTCAGGCTAACGGTCTCTGCGAGCGCTTTCATCGCTCCATGAAGGCGGCCCTCAAGGCCGGCAACTGGGTCGACAAGCTGCCCTGGGTGATGCTGGGCCTGAGGACCGCACCTAAGGAAGATCTGCAGTGTTCTACAGCGGAGATGGTCTACGGTCAGCCGCTGAGAGTTCCGGGGGATTTCCTCCCAAATGCATCGGCTCCCTGGTCGGCGTCGGCCCAGCGGGCTTTCCTGCGTGACGCCGCTGAGGCCTTTGTTCCGATCCCTACTACTCAGCACGGTACTCAGGTGTCCCAGGTTCCCGCAGAGCTCCGCTCGGCGGAGCACGTGTTCATCCGGCACGATGCGCACAGAGGCCCCCTGCAGCCCCCTTATGATGGGCCTTTCCGGGTCTTGGAGCACGGGGACAAGCACCTGGTGGTCGACCTGGGTGGCAAGGCCGAGCACATCTCGGTGGACCGGGTGAAGGCTGCTCACCTGGACTTGGACCAGCCTGTGGTGCTGGCTCGACCTCCGCGACGGGGCCGCCCCCCGGCCTCGTCCCCTGTCACGGATTTAAGACCTGTTGTCCCGGTCCCTCCCCTTCCGGGGGCCGCACAGGCGGGAGTCACTTTTCTGACTCCCGTGCTCAGGAGTCGTGGGGGTCGGCGTGTCGTTCCTCCCCGCCATGCTGATTTTGTTTATGTGTGAATTCTGGGGGGGCTTGTGTGGTGACACGTTATTGGACATAATTCACCTTGCTTATTGTGTTGCCACACGGACCCTTTAGTGGGGAACACCTGTAGCTTTAGCTGCCATTCCTGCTAGCTCATCATGGCAGAGCAGTGCATGTGTTAACCTCTCTGAAGTAATGGATAATAAAGATTGGAACTCCATTCTTAATACACCGCCTCCGACTCTCTTTTCACGGCACTACACTATATACATAAAACTTGATTTGATTTGATATGGACATGTGAACATGTTTTAGGTGGGGGTGGACCTAACCTCCTCTAGGAGGGTCTGGGGGCATGCTCCCCCGGGAAGATTATTTTTAAAATATTGAAGTTAAATACATCAATCTGGTGCATTTTGAGAGCAAAATGAAGAGATCTATGGATAGTCTACATCTCTCAGCATCCATATGAAACAGAAGTGTACACAGATTTACTTTTTCTTAATGGATATTTTACTAATCACTCCCCTTTTAAACTGTATTCTTGTGTTACTGTCCTATAGTATTTCATACCCGTTTTTCATTTATTCTTTCTTTAATAACTATAATGATCATATAAAGGTATTCCTCGAAAATACTTACATAAATGGTGACCAAACCGTTTGAGACCCACTGAGATAACTTACACTAAAGTGAACTATCTAAACACTGAGAGTCCTTACCTCACTGAGCTGACGTTATAAGATCCTCTCAGTCTGACAGGAGAGGACTGTCCTCCACCTTGGTGTAGAAACAGCCCTTTATAACCGTTAGCATAGCTAGCTAACCAGATGCTAACAACATTCCACGTTACCGCTCGCGAACTCACAAAATGCGCTCGTGCCACACACACACACAGAGTCGAGCTTGAATGAAACACAGAGACCCAGAAGTAGGCTACTTGTACTGTACTGTATCATATTATTTTCGATGGCTTTACTGTATAATCAGTGTAACAGATGAACAGATCGCTACTGGGCTTTCATCTAAACACACAGCCACGTAATGATAACAAAACAAAGGTCGGGGCTCATTGGTCAAGCAACACACCAATCAGAGAGCAGCAGTGAGCACACCTCAGGCTGTGTTTTATATTTGTATTCTTTATTTCTGATGTATTTCACACAAAAAACCTTTAGTGGAAACGTTTTCACTTATGATTAAAAAAAGAAAAAACGGCAAAGTGGCAAGGCTTGCCAACCCTGCGTTGGGGGGGCACAGTGACTCATTTGGGGGGGCATGGCCCGCGAATGACCCCCCATGACGCCGACCCTGCTACTACTACTACTACTACTACTACTACTACTACTACTACTACTACTACTACAGCTGCTGAAGCTACTAAAGTTACTACTACTACTACTTATATTACTACTGCTACTACCACTACTTCTACTGCTACTACCACTACTACTACTGCTACTAACACTACTACTACTACTGCTACTACTACTGCTACTACCACTACTACTACTGCTACTACCACTACTACTACTGTTACTACTACTTATATTACTACTGCAACTACTATTACATCTATCTATCTATCTATCTATCTATCTATCCATCCATCCATCAACTTCACCTACAAAATGTTCTTACTTAAATATCAATGATGATACATTTTTGTAGATTCTTCATCCAAAACTTAAACAAAGGCAAGAATCAAATACAAATATCTGCACAATGTATTAAAATGTCCACTTCCTCTAAGTCCAAACCAGCAGTGTGCTCAACTTCCTACACGTGATGACTCACCTTTTGCTTTAACAACAACTGTTTGGCTTTCTTTTATAAAGTTGTGTGTGAGGGAAGCTGCTTGGGCTTTGCAGGTGTAGTTGCCGTTTTTAGAAGGCTGCGCCACAGTCATGTAAGTGTATGAAGAGGTGATTTCTTTGTTATGTTTGTAGATGGAGAACTTGATGCTTTCGTTGCTGATCTTCTCGGGAACATAAATGGAGACAGAGCAGGTCAGCTGGAAGTGGTCTCCCTCAAAAATGTCGACGGGCTTCACTGTCAGCTGTGGCTTTGAAAACAGCTCTGTTGGAGAGGGAGAGTAAAAAAAAAGCATCATACTTAAACGTGTTAAGGAGTTGATAGATTTAAATAACTTAATGTCATATAAGTTATCTCACAACTAACTGTTATGCAGTCCTTGCCTTTGACTTTGATGGTTTTATAGGTTTCTTTGTGCACATTGCCCCACTCCGCCTTGCACGCAAGCTCCCCAGAGTCGCCTTCTTTTGCGATGAATCGATGACTGAGGCTAACTGGGGCCTGCTTGAGGATCCTCCTGTCTCTTGTCAGGAAAACCTCAACGTTCTTGGGTGGATTCACCACTTTGCAGACCACCTCTATGATCTCACCCTCATAGACCTCAGGGGAGGGCAGCACGTTCATGATCGGGGAAATATAGAGTTCTGCAAGACACAACAACGCATGTAAGTCAATCAAACACATTTCTTTTATCAATCAGATTTTCTTTGTGGAGACATACAGTAGAAGACAATCACCTCTGACTATTACTGGAATCTCCTCGCTGCTGTTGGAGAGTCTGACCCCAGAAACTAAGTTGACCTCATAGTCACAGTACAGATGGCTGTCTCCAATCACCCTCAGGACTAGCGTGGTCTCTACTGAGTTCCCGGTGGGCGCTGGCTGCTTTATCTTCTGAATCTTTCCATTCCTTAATTTCTGGAAAAAACGGAAGATGAGGAATCCTTTTTCCTCCGGAGCGCTGCAGGAGGCAGTGAACTCCTCACTCCCATAGGGTGAAGTCTTATTTAAATACAGGATGGGGGTCTGCAGGCCTGAGGAGAGGAAAAAGTCAATAGCAGAGTTAAAGTAAAGTCAAACTCTACATAATGATGTTGTTGGTTCAGATATAAGAGTTTGAACTGCCTGGGAATGAGGTGTGTGATATTCTGTATTATCTGAACTTTCTCAAATGACCACCAACAATGAGGATCTGAAGTGTCATACGCATAATTGTGTGTTATAGCCCAATATCTAAATAATGTGAATAGTTAAGTTCAACATTATCCTTTACATAGTTTGTTTTTCTAAGACAAAATACCTTTTTTTCCTGCAGCAGGAAAATAAAAAAAACATGATTGTATGTTAAATGTCCAGTGATCAGTCTTATTTTCAGATGATTATACATTAATGAAGCATATTTCTGAGTAGGCTATTATATTCCTTTTCTGATAATAGATACCCTTAAATATAAATTATACCATCCAAAATTTGAATGCCAACAGCTTGAATTCTTTTTAACGCATTAAAAATAACTTCACATCTTCATTTCTGCAGCATATACAGTATATGGATGCCAGAAACTGACCATGATCAAAATCGAAAATCGGACAGCCCTGGCGAAAAAAAAACAATGTTCACACTCTGTGGTCACGAAGTACTCCACTTGCATTTGACTTCATTTGAATTCTTCTTTCCTTTGTTCATCTTTAGTTGTGTTCTCAGTCCAATAAATCAATCGCACATGTGACGGAGAGGGGGGGGGGGGGGGTGGGCGGGGGCGGTGTGTAGCAGCGCAGCGAAGGGCTGCGCTGCTGGCTTCCTCCAAGTTTACAGTAAAACAAACTGGTGGTGTGACCAATGGCCATTTGCAATTATTAATACTATTATTAGCATTAGTCTATATTTTGGTTGAAACTAAGCCAGGAAAAAAAAAAAACATAAATAATAATAAAAATATATATAAATAAAATCGAATTTTAAAAATAATTTTCGATTATGGAGACTGTAACGAATATTCGAATAATCGAATAATCGCTGGCATCCCTAATACAGTACAATGGTTGCTTATTTTCGTCCTATAGCTCCTACCAATTGTCCAACATTAGAGTTTACTAGAACAAAACTAAGAACACATTTAAAGAATCATAGCGTTCTTCAAGTAATATGCAGAAGGCAGGACATCGGAAGACTTCTGTCATGGCTGGCAGTAGAATACATTATTCATCAATTGTGAAAAAAGAAAACATTGGGTATGCCTAACTTTTTTAAACTCTCCATAAACATGCTGATATATGGGTCAATTTCAGGTACATTATCACATTACCCAGACGCAAGCAATAACATAAAACAAATCCAACCAATTAAAGATAAATAAACCTAGTTTGAGCTCTACCTGTGACGTCGAGTTTTTGGCTATAGCTGGGTCTGCTCTTGTCCTTCACTGTGACGCGACACTCATAACTCCCAGAGTCAGCTGCCCGGGCCGGGTTCAGCTCATACACGAGTGAGTCCTCTGTGGTGGTGGAGGAGTTGATGGGGATGTCGTCTCGGCTGAGCTGGAAAGTGTGTGTCAGGTGAGGGATGTTGTCATGGCTGACTCTGACCTGGCAGCGCAGGGTCACCAGTGTCCCGCTCTGAACGGTGCTGCTGGGTAGGATTGTAAGGCTGACGGTGTCTATAGTGTATGCTGCGAGTACAAATACACAAGTAAATAGAGTAAGAAACATGCACAAGAAATAATAATAAAGACTGCATGCCTCGTTTATTAAACCAACATCAGGGGCTGATAATAATACAATACAACAGTCTCGGTCTATTATTCTCTCCACAATAAAGGTGAAGGAAGGCGCTCCCCGGCCTGCAGTCTACTGCACAGTAAGCAGGAGCGGCTGAAGGAAGGAAAAAGCTTCAACAAACAGCGTCTGACCCTCTCATCACCCCTGGGAGAGCAGTGTTGATTTATCCCAGCTTTTGCTCTCCTTTAGCAACAACAGCAACAGGAGTACCCTGCCTCTACAGGAACCAACCAATTACTTAGTCCACATCCTGAAAGTACTGTTGCAGGGTTGCCAACTTTGGGTAACTGGCTGGAGTGAGATTTTGATATCATGGGTTTAATTACATATGCGCACGAAATGACTGCTATCGTGTCAGCAGTGGGACCTTAGCATAGCCTATATATAGGATATATATATAATATATACAAATACACAATATTAGACACAGACTATAAAGGGCACAAAGTTTCATTCACTATTGAAAGTCAAACACATGTTTGTTTCCACTGTTTTATTGTGTGCCTGTCGCGATAAGCAATTAATTGACTTATCGTACGATAAATAAAAATGAACTCGATACATTTCCATTTACATGAGGATGTGACTAGCAGTTTGAAAGGATGTACTTGAATTATTATTATATATTATCATTATGTCAGTGGTCTAAAATGGTCATACAACGGTGCTGACAATATTATCGGTTATCACAATAATTTCCGGGAAAATGTATCCAACAAAAATAATTATCGTGAGAGCTATACATGAAACACACACACACAAACAAATCTACAGACTTACTCCAAACTGCCAAATATATTAATTATCTCACTCTCATATACTCTTTGACTCTATTTTGGCCTAGTAGAACAATAAGCAGCAGACTTTTACTTTTTTATCATTTCTACTGGATCTTAGATCTGCGCTTGCGCAATACGGGTTGGCAGTTGCGAGAGAGTATTTGTGTTGGGTAATCTATGGTAGGGATAACCCATACAGTGGTGGGGCTCATGTCAGTATTTGCAATGTAATTACATACACGCTCCCCTTGACAGTGAAACGCCACGCGTGAGGTTTAGATTATTTCCCTGTCTCAATCCAAATTGAACTGTATGAAATAAAAAGGCACATTTGTCTTGTAGTAAATAAAAAGGGCGACCTGGAGCCAATCCTGCAATCTCTCCACAGGTGAAAGAGTTGACATGCTGAAAACCCAACCCCTGCAGGGGGGTCTGGGGGGATTCTCCCCCAGGAGATTTTTTTTGTTTTAGTTTTGAAATAGGCTACTAACATAAAATACACATTCTGGTACTCTCTTGAGAAGAAAAATAAATAAATCTATTACTACACGACATATTAAAAAAATTAATGCCATTTTAGTTTTTTGTTACTTTGTTCTGAAAGCTGAACCTGCTGATCCTCACAGAGAGAAGAGGGAAGAGGCTGTGTGAATTACTTTACATTGTGGATAAGGGTGGATAGGCCCCATTGTTCTGTGTCAAAATGAAAGACAGCCCACACACCTATCCAGGGACGTGCACAGACATTTGGAGGGGCTATTGCTCTAAACTGGAAAAAGGGCCTCCCCCCGAAAAAAAAACATAAGACCTTTTTTTAATGTAAAAGAAACCAAATGATTATTACATCAACTAAATTGAACTGTAATTCACATCTCATAACAAAATAAGCTAAGGCGACTACTTGCATTCGGTGACTTAATTTCAAAAATGAAAATCAGGGACATTTTTTGTTTTGCGGTCCATATCTCATTAAAATATCTAATGTTAGTAACTATTAAAGACAAAATGGGGACAATTCTGTTCTAATGTAGTTTGACCATTGTAACTGCTGTGCAGTCCAGAAATACTGATAAAATAGGGCCTCTAACCAGGGGTTAAATTGGGCCGGGGCTGTCCAGGGCTGTCCGGGGCTCAGCCCCGGCACATAGGACGATGCTCTGACGTCATCGCCCTCGCTCATTTGTCATTTGTTTAAGCCATAATGTCAAAACATCTCTCGTTCTCAATATAGACTTTATTTAGGGTCGATATGTGTTGACTTTAAAATTTAAAATAGCAGATCTCTGTGACAGGATATCGTTTTTCCGCTTAGTGAACGTGTGTCTCTGCTCCGATCAGGAGCTGCAGCACCGTGGCTCCTTCGTGCAGAGAGTCTGCAGCGGTGTGTGTGTGTGTGTGTGTGTGTGTGTGTGTGTGTGTGTGTGTGCAGAGAGTCTGCAGTGGTACCGCCAAACCCCCGACCCGTCTTGTAACACGGAGCCCGTTTCCTAGCCACGCCGAGCCAAGTGACGTCACCCCATTCAAAGTGAATGGTGAAGCTTTCAACGCACGCTGCTGTGTGGACGGGCCGTAAAACACCCATATGAAAAAGATTGGTTTACATTTTAATAATCAAATAAGTATGTGAACATAACCAATAGCAAATAAATGCAACTTATTTTATTTTTGTTGTTCATTCATATCTTATTTTACCTAGTTAACATTTATTTATGCATATTTTTGTATCTCTCAAGTTTTAAACAATATTTTTGGATTACTGTCCTATAGTATACATTGAAATGATTTCAAACCTGTTTATCCCAATAATTATAAAAGAGTGCCTTGGAAATATTTGTTTACATAAATTGCATTTATCTCTCTCGCTCGATCCCACACCCACTTTTGGCTGTGAGCTGCGGACGCCTGATAAGCCAACACCCCCCACTTTCATCACTTACAGCGCCCATCGTACAGGGCAAATGAAAAGTGTAACTCGGGGTGAAAAGGGTGTTACCTTGACTTAATTATGAATGCTGTTACATCAAGGCCGAAAATTAGGATGAGCGCAAACAGTCAAAAATGTTTTTTTCCCTCCCAGAGCTGCCAGCGCAGCGCCCCCCCCCCCCCCCCAGATCTGGCGCCCTAAGCGACCACCTATGTCGCCTATGCCAAAAACCGGCCCTGACTTAACCTAACAACTTATTTAATTTGTTTTCACAATTACTAATGTCATGTTTTTTTTTATTCTTGAAGAAAATGTCTTTTTTTTCTGGCATTCTTCCAGGATTAACAAAAATAAGAATAACATTGCGAACTATCTTTGAAGTAAATGGCTGTTGTTAAACGCTTCCCACATTTACTTCAATCGTACAATAGAAAAGCTAAAAGTACCCAAGGAATACACAATAGAATATATAAAGAATAAATGAAAAATCTCTACAAAAGACCAATATACTACAAACACAGAAACGTATTGACATGTTGGTAATATACATCAAAAAGGCTTCAAATGTATTCGGTATTGTATGAACATGTTTGAATTGGGGTGTGGACGTCACATCCTCTAGGGGGGACCGGGGGTATGCCCCCCCAGGAAGAAATGTTTGAACATTTAAAGTAAAATGCTTCAATCGGGTGCACTTTGAGCACACATTACTAGAGACCTGACCTAGGGGGTACAACTCTAAACACCCATATGAAAAAGATTGGTTTACATTTTAATAATCAAATAAGTATGTGAACATAACCAATAACCTACCATAGCCAATAGCAAATAAATGCAACTTATTTTATTTTTGTTGTTCATTCATATCTTATTTTACCTAGTTAACGTTTATTTATGCATATTTTTGTATCTCTCAAGTTTTAAACAATATTTTTGGATTACTGTCCTATAGTATACATTGAAATGATTTCAAACCTGTTTACCCCAATAATTATAAAAGAGTGCCTTGGAAATATTTGTTTACATCAATTGCATTTATCTCTCTCGCTCGATCCCACACCCACTTTGGCTGTGAGCTGCGGACGCCTGATAAGCCAACACCCCCCACTTTCATCACTTACAGCGCCCATCGTACAGGGCAAATGAAAAGTGTAACCCGGGGTGAAAAGGGTGTTACCTTGACTTAATTATGAATGCTGTTACATCAAGGCCGAAAATTAGGATGAGCGCAAACAGTAAAAATGTTTTTTTCCCTCCCAGATCTGCCAGCGCAGCGCCCCCCCCCAGATATGCCAAGAAGCGGCCCTGTACACCATGCTAAATATGTCTGCATAAAGCTGAGTTATGATCGGTCATAATAACACAGAATTTGGTGATGATTAAATAGTTTACAGTGAGATTTACTCCCATACTTTTGGCCATACTCACAGCCCTACAAATGAATTGAGATTTCCAGACAAATGTTCTTTAGCAAGTGTGCAGAGCAGTGTTGATTTAAAAAAGCAATTTGAAGGTTGGATATTTGTAAACCTTTTTTTGTGTATATATATATATATTCATAATTTAAGATGTAAATGAATTCCAGTTTATTTGTAGTAGGCCTACTTTCTATTTTTATTTTGACATTTGGTGGCATCAATGTCTGCATTTGATACAGATAATGGAGCAGTTGCTTTAGGGCCACAGTGTAGGCCTATATCCCTTAAGGTAAAACAATGAGATCCTCGATCATGTTGATTCGGCCACAACAGAAAAAATAAAAATAAACTCTCGCTCTCTCCAGAGGGGCAGGTCAGCCAAAAAGGCCAAACGGGCCGTTGCCCTGGCAACATTAGCCCGTACCTGTGCACGTCCCTGCACCTATCAAGCATCAAACCGTGGGGTCTTATTTCATTACGTGTTGATTTCTATCAACACGTAATGTTGTATCGATGTATATAGAGATGTACTACAGCAAAAGTATTCTCCGTCGGGACTTCCTGGAACAACACCACGCCGTTATCTTGATTCTGATTGGCCAGAAGATATTATCAAAGATGTTCTATTGAGAAGACGATTACTACCTGACAAAAGTTTTCAAAACCGTTTCTAGTCTTCGGTATTCTTGTTTTTGGCGTGAGAATAGTTTGGGCAGCGTGAGAGCGTGAGATTGAGAGTGAAAGCGTGTGTCACACGCCAGATGCGTGAGAGTTGGCAACCCTGCTGTTGTTAGTTTGGGATAACTGATGTACAGTACAGCAATTTAGGCAGTGAACGACTTTGTTTACTCCATCATTTCCAGTTTAATGAGTTAGATTAAATCTGGGGTTGCGTCTGGAAAATCTGGACAAGAGTGTTATTTCAAATCAAACAGTTTCATACTTTCTGTAGAAATAGTACAAACGTAGAGAGACAGTTCCTTCCTTCAAAGCTGTGGAATAAAAGCTTTAGACTGTTAGATTATTAAGTAAAAGACACATAAAGGTATTGCTCTTTTAAAGGAATAGTTATTTGTGCTCTTGCAGAGTTAGATTAGAAGATTTAAACCACTCTGCATGCTTATGCTACAGCCAGTAGCTTGTGAGCGTAGCTTAGCGGAAAGTGGAAAGAGGGTGAAACAACTAGCTTAAAAACATTCTACCAGCACATTTAAGGCTCACCAACTAACAAGTAAGTCCTATTTTGTTCAATATCTGCAATACACCTAAGTATAACAATTACAATTTGCTATTTGAGCTTTAGAGGTGCTTTCCCCCTCTTTCCAGTCTTCATGCTAAGCTAACCAATTGCTGGCTGAAGTGTCACATTGAGCGGGCACACATGAGTGGTTTCAATATGCTAATCTAACAAAGTGTGTTTCCCCAAAATGTCCAATTATTTCCTTATAAAAGTGACCACCTAGGAGCTCCAGATAAACACTGACACAACAAAAAAACAAGAAGCATTGAGACAAATGCAGTTTGAAAGCTATTTAAAAATCGAAAGGTTCATTCAAACTCATGCTGATTTGAAAGATTACCCAGCTTCACCTCTAACTGCTAAAAATAGCTTCAATAGATCTTACAAAATACTTGAAAATATCAAGGAGGCCAGCAGTGCACGCTAATGCCCACTTCCTGCAAAAAAATAACTGTGCCAGGTAAAAATAACTTTCTCATCTAATACAGCAAGAACTGGATAACCTGAAACTGTCCCTTCAACACCCTAGACCAATTATTAAACAATAGTTACAAAATAATATACAGTCCAATGAAGTTCTACTTACACGACTGTCCTCTGGCACACTGCCCTGTGTGAGGAGAAAAATACATAAAAGACAGAAGTGAGAATCACCAGATGAGGTTTAACTGAGGGGAACATCCTTTATCCTTTGCAGCACAGAAGTGGGTCCTTACAGGAGTGCAGGAGACAGGTGAGAAGCAGCAGCAGCATCAGGTTGGTGGGTCTGGAGTCCATCCTGAGTGATGGTGCTGGGAGATTAAAAACCCAGCTGCAGAGGGCCGCCGGACAGAGGCCAGGAGGGCAGGGAGGGGGACGAGGGAGTGCCGTAGGAAAGGAGAGGCGGAGAAACAACTCGTAGTGTTTCGGGCGGCGGTGGGGGGGTGTTCCTCGTCTTATCATACACACTGCTGCTTGACTGAACAGGAAATGGCAGCTACTTCCTCAGGAATCTAGCATTTGCTGCCTTTCTCAGTTTTTCTTCAACATGGATCAGTCGGGGTATTTCTTAAATAGAACTTCCATAATTAAAAGGTGTTCTTTACCCCCAAGTTATCATTTGATAATCTCAATAACTCCTCCTGTGTTACTTTGAATGCATGAAGAAAACTTAGAGATGCTTAATGCCTAAAACTTATTTTTAAAAAGCAAATTAACAGAATTTATCCAATCCAACTTTATTTATATAGCACTTTAAAACCTCCAGACCAAAGTGCTGTACAGAGAGATATATAAAATATAAAATCACACAGCTCAGCTCACAAAACATAAAATAAATACATTTAAAATAAAAGATACAGACACAAAACAAACCAGAATAAACTAAACAATAAAAAAAATTAAAAACAGCCATATACATTTAAAGGTCCCATGTCATGCTTTTCCGGGTTATTACCCGTCCCCTTGTGTGTTATTATGCATGTAAACGGTGTGCAGAGTCAAAACCCTCGAACTACACCCTGTAGCGAGTAAAACTCTAACACAGAAAATACCTCCCCAAAACGCCTTGTTGGAGATACGTCATTGTCCATTGTTTACTTCCTGGGTACTGTGACGTAGGAATGGCCAGTAGCCGCGCCCAGAGCTATGACGCGATACAGTCATGCGTTATCCACAGAGCCCTATCTCTCTAGGGCTCTGGTTATCCGGAACCAAATGGACCAATCCGTGGAGCCGTTACGTTACGTCTGCGGAGCCGTTACGTTAAGCCCCCGCTGATTGGTCCAAATTGACCAATCCACAGACTTCCTCACACACTCAGTGCAGGCAGCTCTGCTGATTTCTCCTCCCTGGCTGCAGGCTGATAACGGACAGTTGGGATCGCGGCGAAATTCTCTCTGCAGACCCATTCTCACAGCGTTTATCAACCTTTGTCTTACTCAATCTCAAGCCACATTTATTGTTTTTACTTCGGCTGTGACTTTGTGTGTGCTCAGGATGAGTTTGGCTGTGTATCGCTAAACAAGGAAACCACACCTCCACGGAGCTCAGCGCGATTCACAACGTCCCGACCAATCAGAGCACACTGTGCTCACAGGGAGGGTGGGGGCTGGAGCTATTGGAGCCACAACGAGCCGTTAAAGGCAGAGAGTGAAATTCAGTGAATACACGTAGTTTACAGAGATGCTGTTTGAGAAACCAATGTGAGTTTGGAAAATTGCACAATATAAATCTATTCTAGTAGACCTCAACAATGGAATTATGATCAGTGGAAATGGCCATGACATGGGACCTTTAAGAGGATGATAGCTTGCCTGATCAAGATGCAATGTTTGTGTATGTTTTTAACCACAATGCATGAAGTGAGCATACTACAAAAGAATCAGACTTTGATAATACTGCATGAGTTGTGTGAGGGTAAATAAACAGATGTTTTCATTTAGTTTAACTGTTTATGACAATCCCCAAATGTACTTCCATTCATCAAGACTTTCCATTTTTGTATTACTTGTCCGTGTTTTCTTTAAGCAAATTATCATTTTGGGATTGAAGTATTCTTTTAACGAGGATAATAACCATTTTGAGCTAGGCCGGAAACATTTGGTAACATCAGAGACTGGATTGTTGCTCTCCAGGCTTTAAAACAACAAAAATCAGGAATTATGTAAGACCATAACGGCTCTGCTCTGCCCACAACCTCTTAAAACCTCTTAAATTCTTAATGTCTGCAGATGTTTTCGCTGAACTGCAGCTAATACTAGAGTCATCATCCAAATCTCTAATGAAAATATATCCAAACATTCAGTGTTTTGATATACACACCATGCACCTTCCACCACATACTTAATCCTCTCCTCATCCAGTGCTCCTGATAAAACTGTGAGATGAAGCTGTGAGTCACTGAATCATTAATAGGATACAAACTCAGAGATGAGAGATGATTTAAACATGATCAAGTGTTTGGGCAATATGGGGAGAAATACACAACATAAGGGAATGTCAGATTAATTATAGCTTCATTTTGAGATATCAGTCATGCACTTAATTCAGTCAATGAGAAAATTAGCCGTGAATAGGCAAGCATTATTGTAAAACAGGTGTAGATTAATCTTTTAACAGATATTGTAGTTGTCACGGATGTTCCCCTGTCAAATTAAAAACCTTATGCTATTGGATTTCTCTAGGAAACTATTTTCAACAGAGTATATTTCCAATTATAGCACATACTGGTGGGAATTAAGCCTTTTTTTTGTCACAATCACACACATATTTTAATGCTGTGATTGTGGTTGCATTTGCTTTTAAACTCCAGATGTAAGGATGCAGTGCTGAGCAGCATCTTGCAGTCCTCAACAGTGACCACTAAGAGCTGCTGAAGTCTAATAGGAAGAAGGTCTGCTCTGCGGCTTTATCTGCAGAATACTCCCAGTCGCTTTCATTTGTGCCACATTTTATAAACAACAAATGTTTTCAGGCAGTACGCAAGAGCTTTTTATCTTCGATACAGAGCTGCAGCAGAGGTGACCTTGATGGGAGACCGCCATGTTTTTCCAACAGAAACTGTACTATTTGACTAATACTAATAATAACTATGAATGGTACCAGTCAGAAACAGTAAAGAATCAGGCTGTTTCAAGAAGATCTAGGTAATCAAAGCATTTCTAGCTAAACAAGCAGATGGTGCAATTGGTGGCAATAGGTCTATTAGAGTTCATACCGCCTCCAATACACATTTAAAACACAAAAAGAACATAAATTAGGACGTTCAAATAATGTGTCAGCTTGCCATCTTTATCCAATTAGGTAAAGTTGTTTTCATTGAGACATTCATTATGTATTCTTGAGTCCTCTCAAAGCTCATCTTCAAATCTAGGTCTGCATTAGTAATCATAACAGTACTTTGCCAAACATCTACCACCATTTTAGTGTTCCTCTTAATATTATTCAGAAATCCAATTCACAGTCTACTTTGAAAGTTGTGCTTACCTGGTCAGGAGTAGGGTGCTGACCATGCCAACAGGTCGTTGCCCTACACCAGGGGTGCCCAACCCAATCGATCGCGGGGAGATTCCCAGTCGATCGCGAGATGTGTCTAAAAATAGAACAACAATATTCTGTTTTATCGTTAATGTCCTGTAACATAATCTTCCTGTGCCAGAATAATGCACTTGACGCATCAAAGCTTTGTGATTGGCCGGCGTGACCCCATGTGTCGGGGCGTGGCTGGTGAGCAGTGGGCAGTGTGACTGTGCACTAGTTCGCTAACGTTGTCCGTGTCAACAGGAGTGACAGTCCGCACACACACAAGACCGCAATTATGGCAGAAGCAAAACATATATAATTCTCACTCCGAGTGGGAGGATAATTATTTTTGTATCTATTCCAATTCAAAGTCCATCTGTCTCATCTGCAATGCGAGCGTGGCTTTATCGAAGAAGGGTAATTTAGGAGCGGCATTTCAAAACAGTGCACGAACGCTACGAGACGGAATTCCCTCCAAATTCTGCCCTACGCTCCAAAAGGGGAGGGACCTGAAAGGACAGCTAAATGCACAGCAGTCCATTTTCACCAGGGTTGCATTCCAATAGTCCATTTAGCTTAGGAACCTTCCTAACGGAGTGAAATGACCAGGAAGTACGTCACTGGCAGCCATGATAAGTGCCGTTCCAATTCTCCAAATGAAAGGAAAGGAGGTTTCAAACTTCCTTTATAACCTCCTTTAGCTTAGGAACCACTGGACCTCCCTAACCGAAAGGAGAGGAGAAAATGCTGCCCCACAATGCCTTGCAGCCGCAGCATTTGCCGTCACTCAACAGTCGGCCGTTCACGGAAACAACCGATTATGACCGAGAAATGATATCATGAAAGTTACGGTGCTTATTAAGCATTTTAAAACGTATGTGGTAAATTGCCAAAGTGCTTTTTTCTGAACGTTCATCAGTATTATAATCAAAAAGAGAAATATGAACGTTAGTTTTTACTGAAATTATCAAATAAAGTCAACATCTCACAGTCTTTACTGAGCTGTGTGGGGTTTGTTCAACTTTTAAAAGATGTTTGAATGGTGATATACACACTGATAGATGTTAAGGACTAACGTTTATAATAAATACATTTGTATTTATTTTAAGATATTTTCATAGTTCATACAATCATACATATTGGGATCATTTGTATAAATGTGGACCGGAGGGAGAGGGTGACGAGCATAAATTTCACTTTCCTTTTTTATTTCAATTCCAACTTTGGTCATGAAGAATATGTTTCTCTGTTGTCCACGTTCATAAAGCATAAAACAACAGCATCAGAGCACGGTGCAGAGTCTCTAGATGAGTTTACAGTAGTCCCTCGTTCTTATTAAACATCCATGTTGTAGTCCGCTGTATAGAAAACTGTAGTTTCCATAGTTTCCCCACAGCAGCAGACGCACATTCATGACGTCCGCTGGCGCATCATAAACACGTCGGATAGTGAAAGTGCATTCGGATTCTCTAAAGTACCGCGGTCTCTTCTCCTAAGTCCTTTTGAATTCTCCTATCCACTATCCCTTAACCCCGTGACGTTTCACTCAGAGGTCAAGGAATAGGAGATAGGGTTAGAATTTAGGAGCTGATTTTTGGATTATCGGAACGCAACCCAGGCCCAACAACAAGAGCAAGGCTGCTACCATAGGCATAGCATCTTAACGTGTCAGTCACGTTCTTGCGTAACACATGAAGTCTTTCAAAGACGGCGAAGTTGTGAACGAAGCATTCCTGGAGGCTGCCGACGCGCTTTTGGGGGACAGTAAAAATAACAGTAGCATTTCAACAGGTTTTTGATATAATAAAAACTCAAGTTAGATACCGTTATTAATCTGCTGTAAGTTTTAGTTTGTTTGAACTTATTCATTA